CGTACAAATATCTTAAGGGCAGAAGTCACGAGGATGGAAGCAGTCTGTTTGCAGTGGTGTCCAGCGACAGGACTAGGGGCAATGGGTGCAAACTGAAAAATAAGAGGTTTCAGTTGAATATGAGGAAAAATTTCTTTACTCTAAGGGTGACGGAGCACTGGAACAGGCTGCCCAGGGAGGTTGTGGAGTCTCCTTCTCTGGAGATATTCAAGGCCCACCTGGATGAAGTCCTGTGTAGAATGCTCTAGGAGAGCCTGCTTTAGCAGGGGGGTTGGACTGGATGATCTCCCGAGGTCCCTTCCAACCCTTGCGATTCTGTGATTCTGTGTGTGTGTGGTAACATCTGCTCTCTGAGGAGATCTCTCACAGCACAGTGGTAAACATAAAAATTTGCTTGTTTAGTGCAAGCACAGCCATACTGCAAAGAGTCTTGCCAGAAATTTGAATCAAGGGAAGCCGTACAGATACAGCCCGGGTAACCCATAAACCAGCACTCTGCAGTACTACCAAGATGCCTTCCTTCTGAAGAGATGCATGAGCAAGGTCTTAACTCCTTACAGTTAAAAGCTTCTTTAACTTTATGAACGTAACTGGCACGGACACACACCCTGTTCAGCGCATGCTTAATTTTCAAATGCCACATTATATGTGACTATGCTGTCCCAGAAAGCTGCCACTTATCCTAAGTAGTGAAGAATTCCTACAGCTGAAACAATCGCTACAGAATTCTCTACAGGTAAGCCGTGTCAGCAAGATTACCAAGATAAACAGCGTGCTCAAGGCAAGGTCAGTAGGAATATTCACACGCTTCCATAAGGTATTTCATGCTATTCCTGCACGTGTCTGGATTCCTCACATACTGTTCCGAAGTATAAGGGGACAGTGCACAGCTCCTGGAGGAACTGCAGTAGCAGTACGATAGGTAGCGTGACCGACACGAGCCACCTCCCAGCTCCATGTAGCCATTAACAGCGAGTCCTCACAGAGAGGACCTGTAAGATATTAAACTGATTAAGAACAGATCCGATCCTTAATCTCAGCTAAAAGGCCAAAACATAACAGCAGTTTGGCTCTGGCATCTCAGGATTTTCAACCCATATCAGAGCAGGTTTGTATCCAGAAACTGTACAAGCACAATATCAGAATCAGAGATTCATGAATCATTTATTATGATAGTGGGCAAGTGGATTGGATGAGAGCAAAATACCAATATTACTAACTACAGGAACAAAAATAAAGCACTGCTGTGTTTTGTTTCATGACTAAGACCACTCCTTTTTAGTCACATTTTCCCAGACAGTTCTCAACATTTTAAAGTGATATTAACACACATACCAATAGACTCTTCAAAAGCAAAGAGAACTTCTTTTCCGTTATCCAGGAGATCTTTTACTCTACTTCCAATCCATTTAAAACCAGGGAGTGTCTCCTGAAACAGAAAAAAGTTCAGTTTCAAGTCAAAGAAGAAAGTGTAGCCACTATTCCCTTCATTTCTGGGATGCTTCAGACTCAAACAAAAAAAAAAAAAAAAAAAAAAAAAAAAAAGATGCATTCTGAATTTTAGGGTCAATGGGAAAGACTGCTGCAGAGTCAAAACGCTAAAGCTTAAGGACATTTTCCTGACTTTCTTCAAATAATTACCCTGAACTTAAATCTAATTAATTGACAAAGAGAATAGGGGCAGTAAAAATTAACAAGTCATCTCTTCAGTTCTTCAGTTTAGATTATGAATCTAAGGCAAAGAGTGACTGGATAGCATTTATTAGCGAATACTCAGCTAGGACATGAATATCAAATCAAGGCATAAGCATGCTTGAGAGACTGTGGTTCTCTTCGAGATCAGATAAGATCTTCCTGGTGCTTATCAGATGAGACAACAGTACAAAGTTATTCAACGGAAAAGTTACAGAAATATAAACAGCAATTATGGGTGATGGGAGGGAAGAGCATCACTTGTGCTCTTCAAATCATGCAAAAGCAGTCAAAAGCTTAGAAACAGTCCTTTCTGGAGAGAAGGAAAGGACAAAGGGAAGCTTTTACAGGAGACCAAGGGGTTCTGTAAATTCCTAGCTTTTTTTTTCAGTCAAATATGTCCCTTTCCAGAAAAAAAAAAAAAAAATATGAACAGTATTCAGTGATATAATGAAATTCCCTACCAGACAGTGATATTCAACCTGATTAAGCATATCTGGACAGTCACTCAAAACAGTTTTCAGAGCTGCTTTCAATTTTAGTTTAATTTCTCATCGTTTGGCAAAACATTTTTTCCTATTGCACATGGATTTAATTAAGACATGTATTAAACAAGACCTGGATCTTTATATGCTTGTGTTAAGCTTTAGAGCGCTTGCATCTCTTATGGCTAACAACCAAAGGTCTCAGAAATCAGAGCAAGTGCCTAATTTGAATGCAGGATTTAAAATAATAACAGTCAGCCTACAGCAGCACCCCCATTTTCTTTTTTATCAAGTCCGGAATGAAACTACATTGAAGATCTGAATGTAAGAGTTCATCCATCTGTCACAATTTAAAGTAAAACCAAATTTAAAGTCTACTGGTGATCCAGGCACCTGAAGGAACATAGCAAGTGTGTGTTACAAATCCATCAAAAAGCACTCTGGTTTTGTAGCGAACACAGAGTTGTACGCACTTTCATTCTCTCACATAGAAGAGTTTTATCTCTACAAAAATCACAGAATGGTTTGGGTTGGCAAAGCCCTTTCAGCTCCCCCAGCCCAACCGTTCCCCTACCCCTGCCATCCCACCCCCAAACCCTGGAGCAGAGCCCGACCCCCCCGGCTCCCCCCTCCTCTCAGGCAGTTGTAGGGAGCGATGAGGGCTCCCCTCAGCCTCCTCTGCTCCAGGCTGAACACCCTCAGTTCCAAGGCAAAGGCATTTCTATGCTACGTAATTTAGGTTTTAACCTCTGTCACCTGTTACAGCCTCCTTGCAGCTTTGCATAAGTTGATCTCTCAGTCTGCATTCACTGTAACGTGCACTGAGAAACACTGCAGATGCTGACATCTGAGTTGTCTTAGGTAAAACAGCATTCTCGGCAAGTTGCGACGCATAAAAACTCCCAGCCAAAGGACTGGAAGTCATCTGCCTATTTTTCATTTTGTAAAGTCGTAAGTGGGGGGGCTCACTGGAGAAGGCTGCAATCAGATTTTACACTGCCAAGACGCCATCACAAAACCCACACTTACTTCAAAGTGAAAACCCTCTTTAAGTGCAATTGCCCTCAGAATTTTCGAGGAGACTGTGGTCGCTAACATGTAAACGTTCTTCACATCAGCATCTTCGGAGCAGTTGTCTTTCCAGCAAGAAAACATCCACCACCCAAACAAAGCTGCTAGCTCATTGCCAGTGAACACCTTCCAGCAGCCACTGCAGACGGGAGGGAAAAATATAAGGGCTCTGTTAGTTCTCCCAGGAGCACCCACTCAGGGGAGATGTTTTCTGCAGTCACCGGAACAGGAATCTCAGCACACTACTGACGAGCTGCTCTATACAAAGCCACCATACTATCAGGACTCCACATTTCTCACATCTCAACGATTTACAAGCCCAGTGCGTTCTGTTAGCAAGCAAAGATACCAATTAACTATCCTTACTGTCAGCTTTAAAACAGCTTAAGTCTTTTTAATTTATCAAAGTATAGCAGTCTATACGCTGCAGTCAGGCAATGCCTGCACAACCACGCATTATAGACAGTTACTTACACAATTATCAGAATTTTGGCCTGTTAGTGGAAGGAAAATAATTTCTATTCAATATGAAGAAGCCAGGGAAAAAAAGAAACAAACAAGCAAGCCCCCAAAAGCCCACAACAGCTAACTGTCCCAAGGCTGAATTTGTTTGCATAATAGAGGTAAAAAAATCAGGAACTACAAGCCTTTACTGTCTTTAGTAACCACTCAACTTTTCAGTCAAGTTTTGTTCAGCCATTTACTGTAAACCACATTGGTAAGTATTTAATCTGATCTTTTCTGAGTTATTAACTGGTTTTATTTAAAATACATTATTTCAAGTGGAGCTATAGCAAAAGACGAAGCTAGCAAGAAAAATATCCAAATAGCAAAGCCACAACAGGAAAGAGTGGGTTGAAGGTGTGTGCCTGTCAGCCATGTGGGGACATTCTGCAATTTTCACTACCACTTCTGCAGAAAGAGATAAAATAAAAGGTCCCATCACTTACTTTTCCTGCTGTTCTGCCACTGCTAGTCTATCTGCATCTGGATCAGTGGCCACTACTACTTTAGCGTTTTCTTTCTCTGCAAGCCTCAGTGACAACTCCTGGTGGGAGAAGAGGGAGGGGAAAAATCAAAATAAAATCACAAGAGCAAATGAACCCACAGTCTTCCTACTTACATATAACATGCAGTAAAAGAAAATCTCACACGGATTGCCCGCTGTATTAACACAGCTGAAAGCCAGGTACTCCCTCATCTCTTCCTCAATTTGTTTTTCAACACAGTATCATATACAAACAGAAATCTGATGAAGTAGAAAAAAAAAAAAAAAATACCAGCACAGATTCTCCTTCTTCAGGATTTGGGCATTTGACAGTTGAGAAGTCTGGATCTGGATCTTTTTGTTCAGGTACTGGAATGGGGGGCTGAAAGCCAAACGCTTTGAAAGCCAGCTGCACATAGTCGTGTCCAACTCCATGAAACGAGGTATGAACAAACTTCAGATTTGTTTGCACGTTTAGCTCCCTGAGAAGGAAAAAAGGATTTCAGTAAGATTTTAGTTACTTAGCAAGGCTACTTTCATGTGAGAAAGCAAAAGAAACTGCAATTACACTTTGTACTGTTCTGCTGATTTCTGCATTAGTTTCAAAGGAGGAATGAGTAAAAAGTGCTCACTTGGACTTTCACTAGAAATTGCTGGTTTAAAGCTTCTTCTCCTGGAAAATGAGATATTTACCTTCTGCTGAATCACCAGGAATGAACTGTTGATTTCTGCGTGAAACTTGAGCTCTTCCACCACCCTGAAGATCTTACTCTGGCTCTGTTCTACCTACTTTATTCATCCTCCTCCTTTTATTCTTGTCTTCTGCCCCACCTAAACTTTAAACTTAATCTCCTCTCCCCTATTCCATACACGTGCACCTCACCTTTACTCTGAATTTCTGCATTTTATTCAGAACTCTTTTAGCATATTCATTTGCACAAAATGGTTCACATCAGGGTGCTTTACTGCAGCCTAGCGTCCAAAGGCAGGATGCTGTATTGTCAAGAAGTATGGTTTAGTCCTAGCGATTGTGATCACCTAATTTAACGACACGTCAGAGAAGGGATGGGGTGAGACAGAATGGGGAGATGACCAAAAGTCATTCCCACCATGAAGAGCAGAGAGCAATGGCCTCAAGCAGACAGCGATGTCTGTAGCAGAGCAGAGCACCCAGCTTCTGTGAACCGTAAAGACAAAAATCAAGTCAATGATTTGTGACGATAAAAATCACTACAGGCAGGTCCAAAACTATTAAAGTTTTGGAAGACAGCCCAATCCACATACCCAAATAAAAAATGTTTATATGTCCGGCAACATTGCATGCTTTATTATTGAAGTCTATTTGTCAGCAGTCGGTTTTCCACATCTAACCCAAAGCTTGCTTAAAAAAAACCAACATAATTTAGGTACACCGTGTTTTATACAATACCTATGATAACAGATCTTTTTCAGATCCTCCATGTAACAGTCACAGATTTTCTTCAGAGGATCCTGTCTGAGGGGACTGGTGTCTACTAGATTCTCATTCCATGAGCCATTCCATGGTTCAACACACTCTTCAATACATTTTATAATTTCCTTATCGTGAGGAGAGGTGATCTGTGCTCCATTTTCCCAGTAAACCTGGTATAAGTTTAAGGAGAACAAGACAACAGTTTATTTACAAAGACTATCAACTTGATAAATTCTTTTAGCTACAGGTTTCCACATCCTTCCTGCTTCTTGAAGTCATCCAGAAGAGGCTACCATCAGGCTGGCTTGATTCTCAGAAGTTATTTGGAATCCCAGATTATGATTTCAGTTACGTAACGATAGCTACTCAGCAACATGATCTGTTTTCAACAAAAGCTGGTATTCCAACTATTATGACTGAAATCATCAGGATGTGAGAAACCGAAACTGGGCACTTACATTTGAGAGTGTTGTGCAAACAGCAACAGAAGAAAAACACTGCCTTCTACATAGTCTGGCATTCCTTTTGAAAAAGCAGCACAACTTGTTTTTGAAATCAAAGCAAACCAGATAAGCAGTGTGCCAAGGTACATGTTTTTCCATAACTGAACAACTGTAATCTTTCAGCTGGAAACACTATCAAACCCTGAACTATAAAGAGTCTTTGTTAAAGAATTATTTAGATGCCAGTTTTCCCACAGTTTGTTTCCAATGACATGGTTGAGTTCACGGTGCAAACTTTCTACTCGGACCAATCTGTCTCTTGTCTTGTCCGCTGGCTTTCGTGAAACCCATAGGTACTCAGTGTCTGCAAAACTATGGGTTTGTCAAGTTTGGTTAAAATTGTCCAAAACCTTCAGAAGCCGCTGAATTCACAGGGGAAATAGTGAAAGATAAAAGAATTCTTGTGGAAGACTAGAAAAACAATATCCTGACAAAAGTAAAATGCTTTGTGTCAGAAGACACAAACATAACAGCTTCTTGATAAATGGAGCACCTGGAAAACTGATGAGGCTTATTTTCTTAGTCATTGCTACAGCTAAGCAAAAGTGAAGGCTGGTGAAGTACTTTACAACTTGTTCCACAGAGCGCAAGCCTGGTACAGTCACCTCCAAGAGTTATCTCTGTGCAGAGTAAGACTGGTTTTCCCATCATTGCCACTACTTACGGACCTGTTACTAAGCTTCTAGAATGCTAAGTTTAGGTAAAGGTTAGAGTTCAGTTCAGATTCTTATAAAGTTTAGGAAGGAAACATTGCGTTACCATCCTGCATAAGCAGCATTTGCCAGTATGGATGGTTATACTGTTCCAAGCTTTCAAAATGAAGCCACACGCCTCTCTCAATGCCCAGAAAAACCACCTTACAGGGAGCAACACACTACTACAAAGCTTTATTTATCAACTCTTAAACCGTCACCATCTTCAGCACAGTTATTTACCGCGTGGACTAATTCACCTAAGCTCTAGCTTAGTTTTAAACTCACTTTTAAGTCTAAGAAGTGAACACATAACAAATTGCTTAAGCGCTTCTTCGGTTGCCGATGGAATTCTATGGACTCTATGCAATGTCACAGCAGACTTGTGCTCAAGATACACCAGCAGTGTGGTCTTAAGTTCCAGTCGCAGGAGAAAGTGTAATTCCAGTTACAGAAGGATGATCTTTATCAATGACCTGGATGAGGGGATTGAGTGTGCCCTCAGCAAATTTGCAGATGACACCAAACTGGGTGGGAGTGTTGATCTGCTTGAGGGGAGGAGGGCTCTGCAGAGGGACCTGGACAGGCTGGATCCATGGGCCGAGGCCAACTGCATGAGGTTCAATAAGGCCAAGTGCCGGGTCCTGCACTTTGG